AATGGAGACTACAGGTATGCATCGCTCCTGGGAGCTCCCTTGCAATGAAGCTGGGGCCCTGGCAAAGTCTGTGTAGGGAATAACCTGCATGAGGCGTTAAGACAAAGGACGGGCGGTTTCGAAGTAGCAGTCCTTTCACCGCCCATTTGTCGTCCGCCCTGCCCCCCCCCCCCCCCACCCCCTCCACCGCGTGTATCACAGCCTTGCTGCTTCACTCCAGATTTGCCTTGTGACTCCGTGATGTAGCCGTGCATGTGGCGACTCGGGGTTCCAAGGTTCACCGGGACTTTTGCCAAGCTGACAGGTTTGGGTTCAGGGTTAAGGGTTTNNGGGTTAAGGGTTTGAGGATTTAGGGTTTAGGGTTCAGGGTTTAGGGTTTTGTGGCATTGGGTTGCAACCTGGAACACGGGCCGCTCATCTGCCTCACACCAGTTCAAACCTCACTCAAGCACTGATTAAGCTGGCTGTGCAACGACAAAGGTTCAGGAAGCCTCCAGAAGATTGTACATGCCGAAAGTCTCACAACCCCAAACCCATCATTCTGATCCGCAACCTCATCTCTGCTTGCTGTTTCAGATCCCGAAGCTTCCAGACCCCCGTCACCTCGAAAAACGGTAGAGACAGTTGGAAAGGAGATCCGAACTCTTTCCACCAACTCCTGGCCAAGGGACATGTGTTCAAGCTTCCGGGGCTCAGGGGCCCAGGGAGGGGCGGAATAGAACAGGGATTGCTATGCCTGCAACCCAAGAAGACTCAGAAGCTCACACACGAAACTTTAAAGACAGAGAGCAGAATGCCTAGAGATGCCATGTCGGACAAGCAAAGTCTGCTTTGGGCACTGATCGGTAGTCCGTGGAGCTACTTCTGCTAACTGCTGATGCTGCGCTGCTGCTGCTGTCGCTTTCTTTCTTTCTTTCACAAAGGTAGACGGAGAGGGCACGAACTCTTCTCTCTCTCTCTCTCCCTCTCTCTCGCTCTCGCTGACTCTCTGCTTCCTTGCTTTCTGAAGGGCCGAGAGAGTGGCTCCGAAACTCCTACCGTACTCTCTAGGGTGGCACATCGTCCGGGGTTGCAAGGCAAGTCGGCAGAGTATGCTGTCCCTCTCCCTACTCCCCTGATCTCTCTCTCTCTCTCTCTCTCTCTCTCTCTCGCTCTCTTTCACCCTGCCTCCTTCTATTCACCGCAGTACCCGGGCGCCTCTGCTTTGGGAAATACGACGGAAAGTCGAAGAGCACCGGAATGCAGCCGGCCAAGATAGCCTGAGTCAAGGCTCGAACGTATACAGTAAGGCGTCCGGGCAGATGATGACAATTACAACCTGTAACTATAGGCACTGCACAAGATCTATATTGCTACATTCTGCAGCTCTTGCAGTAAATACGACAACTCGTCCTACTACTTCGGAAGATCTAGTAAGACAGTGCAAATCAGGAATGAGGCTGCAGGGCTTCGTGCAACTACATGTAGATATCTTGTTATTGCGAGCAACAGCTGCAAGCCTCACATGTCGAAGAACCCATGCAAAGCCATCCCCCCCGAAAAACTGGAACCTGACACAACAAACATCCTCTGCACGTGACATCAAACACGAGTGCCCAAAGTGCCGGCAAAGGGCTTTGTAGAACTTATACCTCGGTAGGAAAACAGAGACGGCTTTGTGAATACAGTGGCCTTGGGTATGATACGGCTCTGATGGGTTGTACAGGCTGGCCTTCATAATTGGAATAGGGTTTGGGGGTATATTACAGTGGAAATATATAGCGATATACCGGGATTACGCGCGCTGGTCGCGACTAGCTACTCCGAGCTCTGTATTGCCTGCCTTCGCAGTGATTTCGTGCAGCAACAAACGGTCTTCGGAAGCATCCCTCTGCATATGATCATGGTAGTGACTTACAATCAGCTGTTGGTTCCTGCTGGGTTATCATTCGTCGAAATCCTTCGAGTTCCAAAGCCTTCGGGCATTGAGCTTCTGATGTGTTCAAATCGATGCGCGGCGGCCTCGATCTTGCAGATAGACGGTAATAGCATTGCGGAAGCTCTGTGTGCCAATCGTCTGGCGGTTACTCGAGAAGGCCGTGTGTCGAACAACTCCTTATATCTTTCTGGGCTCACAGAAAGTATTCAGCCTTCATGAGGAACCCAGCTGGGTGCCATGATGTGCAAGCGATTGGGTTTCTGATGCATAGGCACAGGGTTTGGAAGCATGACACACACACACACACACATATATATATATATATATATACATACATACATGTATGAATTATGTATATTCTAAAGTAGCACGGTTGCTAACGGACCTGACGCTAGCCAAAATTGAACTACAAACGAAGAATGCCATCGGCGACCTTGAACCCCAAGGACCCCGACCATCCAACATTATCCCGTCGTGCTGATTCTCATTGCAAGGGGCCGGTGGGGAACTTCCCCTGGGCCCAGCGGGCAAAAAACTGAACGCTGCATCACCTTCGTCTGATCCACGCCGCCCTGAGTTGGGGGCACGGGAGTGTGGGCTTGGGCTTCAGTGCTCGGGCCTCTCGGCCCAGCAAGCTTTAGTTCTTGTTGCTTCGTTGTAGCTACATCAAGTACAACCATAAAGACAAACAAATACTTGCAAACCACAGAGTCATAAAGCGGTTTAGAATGGAATCATCACTTCCCTCGTGCATGTGTCACCGTCCCTCCCCCGCCTCTTCCAAAAACTTGCGAGGCATGAAATTGGGGCTCCCAATCCAAATAGAAGCGAAAATACCGGTAATAAGGTAATACAAGTACCGGTAGTATCACGAGTGACATCAGAATCAGGAGGTGGAGGCGGAGGAGGAGAAGGAGGGGACGAGGGTTGCTTTCAGCTACATCAGCTGGAAGCGATGAAGCACCTTCACAGTGGCCGACCTTCAGGCATGAAACTACATCGGCTCGGCTTGGGATATCCTGAGACCGCACCCAAACGACGGCAAGTCATACATGCGGCCAAGTATCTGCCGCCTTGACAGCAGACCGCGGCGAGATTGTTTCAACAATGCACCTGAGCTCCAAAGGGCCCAATGCTAACGAGTACAGCAGGGCAAGGGCAGATCCATGCCGCAAACACAACTGTACAAACGCGAAGCTAAGTAGCAGTAGCAGCAGCAACTGTAGCTGTAGCTGTCTGTAGCAGTAGCAGTGGCAGACGTCGTAGAAGCAGTCGTTGTCGTCGCGGTTATCGCTGCTGTCGTCTTCGCTGTCGTAGAAGGGGTTGCAAACGCAACAAAAGCTGCAGAAAAGGCACCAATGGTAGTGGTCTTAGACAGCGGTAGCAACCGTCGTCGTCGCCGTAGACATGTCGAGCGCGATGAACAAATAGAATTTCAGTGCAATAATATAGCAGGCGTATATTATGCACATTTAGGGGCCGTTAAGTGGAGGGGCTCTGGAGAGGCTTTTGGTTGACACAAAGGCACCGCGAGTTGCAGAAGGCCTGGCCCATGTCGCTGACCAAGACATCCTCAAGAAGCGCGCAAAGCTGAAACATCACGCGAATAGAGCCCTAAACACAAACCCTGTGTATGAATGTTCAGCGCAGGAACCTGGAAGCACCAGAGACCAAAATCCCGTGTCATGTCCAGGAAGATGGATGATTCAACACAGGTTTAGGGTTTATACCCTAAACCCT